GTGATTGACAACCAAGGCCGCAAATGGCAGTGCAGGTAGGGCGCATGCACCCCCTAACTGGAACTGCATAATCACTTATATATATACACCCGTACTGCCCTGTATCAGTATTTCTGCCATAGGATGGCGTGGAACTGGTTAATATGTTGCTAAACAATACCATAATCCTGCAAGTATAACCCATACACATCCACTACATAATGGCCCTGTAATCTATTTTTCATGAAATTGCTGCTTTGTTCTTCTGCCTACTTGTAACATCCTCCATGAGCTCCTGAACCTCTGCTTTCCCCCCTCACTTTCACTTGTTTGGAATGAGTAGTGCACTCTAGTTTCCGTCATGTATACTGCTTCAAGCATACAACAAATCCCATAGTCCCTAGTCCATCTCAGGAGCAAGCAAGAGAGGGTGGCTACATTCCCACATACTGTTGGACCACGGAGAACAAATGTAGCCACCCACTAACACATGGGTCTCCAAATTATTTAAACAAAGGGGCAGTTTACTGTCCTTAAGACTTTAGGGGGGGGCGAGCTATGGCTGTGGATTAGAAAATGACCTGGCGTCTAGTGGGAATAAACAATGCCTTATCTTTGGCGTCAGTGGGAGACATAGCGCTCTATCATTGGTGTCAGTAGGAGACATAGTACCCCATCATTGGTGTCATTGGGAGGAATAGTGCCCCATTGTTGGTGTCAATGGAGGGCATTCTGCCCCATCATTGGTGTCAGTAGAAGGAGTTGAACCCTTTTGTTGATGTCAATGAGATGAATAGTGCCCCATTGGTGGTGTCAGTGGAAGGAATAGTGGCCCATCGTTGGTGTTAACTGAAGAAATTGTACCCCATCCTTGGTGTCAGTAGGACGAAATGTGTCCTTTCATTGATGTCTGTGTGAGGAATAAAGCCCCATTATTGGTGTCATTGACAAGAATTATGCCCCATTGTTTGTGTCAGTGGATTAAATAGTGCCATGAGGGCTAAATAAAAGCAAGGAAAGGGCCACATCTGGCCCCTAGGCCGCAGTTTGGAGACAGCTTCTCTAACAGGAAGCTGGATTGCAGCAGTAAAAAAACTAAATACATAAATACATGGATCAACATTTGTCCAGTTCAGCAAGGACCAGCTGAATTTCGATCAGTGTAGCTAGCTGGCTATCGATCAACTTGTGTACAACCAGCCTGTTGGGTTTTTCCTGACTGATCAGTACCACCAACTATAGCTGGCAACACTGATCAATGTATTCTGCTGGTGGGGAAGACTCTCCACTGGCAGAACACAATAGCCAGGGCTGTTTTTTCAGCGGGAACGCGGGGGAATGCAGTTCCGGCACCTTCAGCACTGAATGTATGTAATGGCAAAGGCTGCTGGGTTGTGCTGGAAGGTCTATTGATGCGGGCTGCTGGGGAATCTATTGTCACTGGTGGGCATCTATTATTGTGGGGTGGTCTATTGTTGCTGGGGAGGTCTATTGTTGCTCAAGGGGGATTGATTGCTGCTGGGGGGTCACTTACTTCTCAAACTAGACACTCACAGTTCGAGTTTAATTCATTTGATTTTCCTATAGTTAACGAGGACTATCCGATGATTGTTTTTGACCGTAGTGAAAAGAAAAATCTAAGGCAATGGATGGAAATTTTTTTCTCATTTCTTATCTACGCAAAGTTCTAGCTGTGAATGCTTCAGGAAAAATCATACAAAATGCACATGTGCTAGGTAAAATTTGATCCCAAAGTAGAAATTTGGTTGCCGGGTCATTATTATTATTATTATTATTATTATTATACAGTATTTTATAGAGCGCCAACAGTTTGCTCAGCGCTGTACATTACAAAGGGGGACAGAACATGTGACAGAACAATACCAATACAATGCAAAACATGAGAGGATCAAGGGCCCTGCTCTTTCGAGCTCACAATCTAGGAGGGAGGGGATAGTGGTACAGGAGGAGATAGCTGTGGGGGATGGAGTGGTAGGAAGAGTGGAGGAGGTCGGCAAGTTAGCAGGGGGTGGGGTAGGCTTCCCTGAAGAGATGGGTTTTCAGGGTGCGCCTAAAGGAGAGGAGAGTAGGTGATAATCTGATGGGTTGGAGCAGGGAGTTCCAGAGGATGGGTGACACCCTGGAGAAGTCCTGGAGGCGGGTATGGGAGGAGGAGACCAGGGAACTAGAGAGAAGGAGGTCTTGTGAGAAGCGGAGTGTGCGTGCTGGGCGGTACTTGGATATTAGGTCGGTGATGTAGTTTGGGGCAGTATGGTGGACAGCTTTGTACGTCAGTGTTAGGATTTTGAATTTGATCCGTTACGCAATCAGAAGCCAGTGGAGGGATTGGCAGAGGGGGGGTGGCGGAAACGGAGCGGTTGGAAAGGTAAATGAGTCTGGCAGCCGTATTCAGGATCGACTGAAGCGGGGATACCCAGCGGCGAGGCAGGCCAGTGAGGAGGGAGTTGCAGTAGTTGAGTCGTGATATGATGAGGGAGTGGATGAGCTGTTTAGTGGTTTCTGGGGTTAGGAACGTGCGTATTTTGGCGATGTTGCGTTTGCGGAGGTGGAGTCTGCACGAGTTTGTTAAAGATTGGACTTGGGTCTGGAAGGATAGGTTGGAGTCCAGAATGACACCAAGTACTCTGGCCTGCGGGGCGGGTTTGATGGTGGCGTTGTTGGATGTGATGGAGAAGTCAATGGGGGGTGGTGTCCGGGCTGGGGGGAAGACAAGAAACTCGGTTTTGGAGAGGTTCAGTTTAAGGAAGTGAACATTTGTCTCAGTTTATATATGGTGTATATATGTGGTAGGGTCACAGACACATTACATCATTTCTGTGCATCTTGAAATGCATCTCAACATTAATGGCCAGTTCACACTATAGAGACGCAGACGCAATCCAGATGCGTTCTGGATGCATTTTTGCATGCACGTTTTTGGCGTGTTCCAGTGCATTTTTTACGCGTTTTTAACGCTTTCGAGTGCGTTTTTTATGCATTCCAGTTTTTTATCTTCACTTTCTTCCTCAATTTAAATAGGGACATGTGCTTTCCAGTGCATTTTTGGTGTGTTATGATGCATTCCAGTGCGTTCCGGGTGCGTTTTTGATGCGTTTTGCCACGTTCAAGTACAGTTCTGTGCAGGAAAAATGCAGCCTGTTCTACTTTTTTTTCTGCAACTGGAACGCACTGAACGTGCAAGCAATGATGTGAACTATGACATTGACCATCATATAACCTATTTTCTGTGTATTTTGGATGCAGAAAAAAAGCAACTGAAACCCATGTAATGTGAACTGGCCCTAAACAATGTATTATACAGGCCATAGACGGGTCGTTTATCAGCCGAATTTTCGTCTGCATGAAAAATCGGCCGATATTCACGCCGTTAGTGGGGCCAGCCTGTTGGCCGTTTTTTGCGGATCTCCTCATTTATTTTTATCGGTCATGCTGGAAAATCCACGAAAAACAGACTGCATCGGCAACAGGGCTGACCGACTTTTCGCCCGTCTATGGCCTGCTTAAGGCTTTCTAGGGAATGGTGTCAAATCACTGATGGTGCTGGTGCATACTTTTGACAAATTATTTTTCATCAGGGGTGGACTGACCATTTGGAAAGTCGGGCACTGCCCGAGGGCCCGGGGTCAGTAGGGGGCCCCATGAGATGCCCCTGGTACCTTTTTCATAGGCTTTTTTGAGTTTGGGCAAGGACACAGGGGCCCCATGATCCCCTATTGCCCGGAGGCCCCATGAGTTGTCAGTCCGCCTCTGTTTTTCATCATTTCTGTTTAATACCAAACATAGGTGTTCTGACGTATGGCTAGTCTTAGAGACTCCACTTTGTCCTCCTATGCTGTTGCAATAGGAAGACTGCGTGTTTCAGAGCAGAGGAGTTCATCGTCTGCAGTCAGCCATGACTAAGCTGGCTTTGAAATGTGGATGAATGACCAGGGTAGCAAAAGTTGCATCGAAGCCAACTGTGCTCTTCAACCCAGAAGGCAGCAGAGTGATCTTTCACCAAGAGGGGAACTGATAGTAAATGAGCACATTTTTTAACCATCCTTTTTCACAAATGAACCACGACCCCTCCGAGCCCAGACACACACACCCCCCACACACCCAGGGGCCACACAAATTGTATGGCTGTAGATATGCCTATGAGTTCTGTCAACTTATACACAGGTAACATCCCAATGAAGAAGTGCAAGATTAGAAAGTTCTAACTTTGATTTTTACTCTATCACTCAAATGAGTTATTAGCCACTTGCCCTCCAGTGCAGGGGCGGACTGACCATTTGGAAACTCGGGCACTGCCCGAGGGCCCGGGGTCAGTAGGGGGCCCCATGAGATGCCCCTGGTACCTTTTTCATAGGCTTTTTTGAGTTTGGGCAAGGACACAGGGGGCCTATTGCCCGGGGGCTCCATGAGTTGTCAGTCCACCCCTGCTCCAGAGGATTTACCCCCCTTCCTGACCAGGCCATTTTTTGCAGTACGGCGCTGTTATGTTAACTGACAATTGCGCAGTCATGCAATGCTGCACCCAAATTAAATTTGTGTCCTTTTTTTTTCCCACAAATAGAGCTTTCTTTTGGTGGTATTTGATCATCTGTGCATTGTTTAATTTTTGCGGTATAAACAAAAAATTTTGAAAAAAAAACCCCAATTTTCTTTACCTTTTACTATTAACCACATGTCTACAGGGCACTTATACCCCCTTCCTGCCAAGGCCAGTTTTCAGCTTTCAGCGCTGTCACACTTTGAATGACAATTGCGCGGTCATGCAACACTGTACCCATATGAAATTTTTATAATTTGCTTGAGACAGATAGAACTTTCTTTTGGTGGTATTTAATCACCTCTGGGTGTTTTATTTTTTGCTAAACAAACCAAAAACAACTGAAAATTTTGAAAAAAAAAAGTTTTTTCTTAGTTTTTGTTATAAAATTTTGTAAATAAGTGATTTTTCTCCTTCACTGATATGCACTATTGAGGATGCAGTGATGGGTACTGATAGGCTGCAGTGATGGGCACTGATGAGGAGGCACTAGTAGGTGGCACTGATGGGCAGTGACAGGCATCACTGATGGGCACTGAAAGGCAGCACTCATATATGGCACTGATAGGCAGCACTGATAGGTGGCACTGATAGGCAGCACTGACTGGCACTGACAGGCGGCACTGACTGGCCCTGTTAGGCGGCACTGACTGGCCCTGTTAGGCGGCACTGACTGGCACTGATAAGTGGCAATGATTGGCATTGATAGGTGGCACTGACTGGCACTGATAGGTGACACTGAAAGGCAGCTCAGATGGGCACTGATATGTGGCATTGATGTGCACTGGTAGGCACTGATATGTGGCATTGATGTGGCACTGATCGGCACTGACAGGTGGCACTGATGAGCACTGACAGCTGGCATTGATGGGCACTGACAGGTGGAACTGCTGGGGCTACACTGATCATCAGGGCACCCTGATCATCAGTGTACATGTCCCCTCCGAGGAATGCCGATTACCGGCTCTCCTCTCGAGCTGTCAGTAACGATCACTCATTGTGTTAATTCTCAGGAAAGGAAGGGGTTGGTAAATGTGAGGAGGGAAGCTGGCAGCACTGTGGGTGTGGGGGCACAGCAGGGTGAAATGCATGGTGCACAAGGAGGGTGATGGGTGTGACGGGGGGCAATTACTGGAACGATCCCCTGTATGGCTCTCTCTGCAGCAGCTGAAAGCCAGCTCTCAACTGCTACAGAGAGAGCCATACAGGGGATCGGTTCCAGTAATCACCATCCCCCCCTCCACCATGCCGATCACCCTCCCTGCCTACATCCGTTTCACCCAGCTGCCTGGGCCCCCAGCTGGCTTGGGCCCAGAAGAACTGGTGGTACCCCCTCATCCAAGGTCCTGATGCTAGGTATGTCTGTCTAGGTATGCGTATCCTTTTTTCAGCTTATTGATAGACATGTGCATTTTGTTTTATAATGAATCAATGTTTGGACAGAAATTCGATTATACCAAGCTCCGAATGTACATGGTAACAAATGTCAACAAATCCGAAAAAAAGGTATAACAAAATTAACGAATGCAATTGTTTCATTCAGATGACTTCACATGATGCGATAGTAGTTCAGGCTCATGGGGAAATTAATTCAATTGTCAAATTTGTCACAGTCCAGTCAGTTCAGTTCCACATACAATTCTTAGGTTTGAAAAATTAGAGGCTGCAGAATTTTGCATTATTTATTCTGTTGGGTTTCCGAAAAATATTGAATCCTTCCGAATAGTTTTGATACGTGAATATCGAATTCACCCGAAATATCGAAACTGAAAACTAATATTTAGGAATCTTTTGAAAAAACTGCAACATTTTTCCAATCCACCCGAACCAACAAATATACATAACGAATTCCAAAGATATGAAACGAGGATTGAAGATTAGGAAATCCAAAAGCGAATCGGTTCTACATTACGAATATGACAAAAAAAAATCTTCAATAGACAAATGCATCTGAAATGAAATGGAAGGAAAATGTCCGGCATGTACTTGTCTACTTATCGATCATACTAGGAGATGTAGAGATCGTCCTTTTTAGCAAGGGTTCTCCAAGACCTGGTAATTATTTCAAGGGTTCCTCAGGAGTAAAAGGGTTGAGAAAGGCTGCTGTAGACCATTTCAAACTACACAACGAGAAGAGGAACCAGAACCCCGAACTGGGACATATAGAGGAAGAAGGACCCCCCCCCCCCCCCCCCACCACCTCTGGAGTCAGGGAAAGGGACCACTCACCTCCAACATGGCCAAGCTCTGACACAGGAGCTGCTACACAAGATGACCGGGGCCCCCAGAGTGCTGGAACCACCCCATTGGTGTCCAGGAGGAGAACCGAGGCAGCCTGAGCGGGGGGCGCAGCAGAGGTGAGATCACCTCTATGTCATGGGGAGCGGTGGGTCACATTCACACCACACGCGTTGGGCTTAGGCCCCATTCACAGTTCGGAATCATGGCCAAAATTGCCTGCAAAACGCACGTTTGGGTGCCGTTCTCCTTCAATGGTCACCCGAACGTGATGCGATTCTGCCACGAGTGTCGTACCTCAGGATCGCACGGTAAACTACGCCTTTAAAAATTGCGTGAAGGTTGTCTAAAAAGGAGCGGGAGCTTCTCTTCAGGTGACAAACGCCCTACATGACATGCAGAATTGCATGACAATCACGCTTTATAGAATGCGTTCCCAATGCATTGTTTCCAGTCCTGGCACTTCACACTGCAGAGCCCAATGAATGATAAAACCCTGAAATAGGTGTCCTGGGGCTTTCCTGAACCCTGAGATGGTACTGTGTTTCTGTTATGTTAATTACCTTTGTTGAAGGTGTGTGAGGTAAATGGAGGAGGTGGGGGGGATGTTATCTGGCCACCTGCTACAGCCCCAGGCCAGGTACAAGTGTGGTGACAGAAAACTTTCAGGGACTTTGATATCTGTCAGTATTTTTGTGGTTTTGCTGTTTTCACCAATTCCTATATATATATATATATATATATATATATATATATATATATATATATATATATATATATATATATATATATATATATATATATATATATATATATATATGCCCCAGAGATGAACATTGGTGATTTATCGATTAAAAAATATATCATGATAAATGTTGAACCTGCTAGAGCTGAGCAGGGAATGACTCTTCACCTGCTGCCTTGCATTCAGCTCCAGCTCTGTGCATGACAAAAGCCTCCCGCAGGCCGAGTCTGAGGTGAATGTGGCCCCTGAGGGGATACTTTTTGCTGTGTGGTGAGGGAGAATTGGGGGGCGTGGCGTGGAATCTACAAAGAACCATAGACCTTCCTATCTCCTCACAGACTCCACAAGGACAGGCTGAGGGGCACCATTCTCGCGGGAGTTGTTACTTTCTTTAGTCACAGTGTATGATTTGCTACACTTTGCGGCTCTGAGGAGAGAACTCAGCACAGGTACTGTTACTTCGGAATTCCCCGCCCACCTCCTGACGTCAATGACTTTAAAAAGTCGCGAAGCGTGGACAAAGGGACCGGAGTGTGGAGGTGACCCTCCATCAGGGTGGACGGAGGACTGTGTTGCCCGGGAGCCCCGCACGGCTGGTTGCCAGGACTGAGCAATCCGCTGCCATTGTCTGTGTGCTGGCATCCGGAATGTGATTGTCCGGACTGTGACATGGAGGATCCGATTACCCCGAGCTGTGATTGGCTGGCCGGCCCCCGGTGTGCGTTCCGTGTAGGGGATGACTGGCTCGGCACTGTCTCCCGGACCTCGGACAGGATGGCTCCTCATCACCCTGGCGGCCATGGGTCGGAACGGGCATGGCTCTCCCGCTGGTTGGAGCTCAGCACACAGCGGCTCCGGGAGCTCCATGTGATGAGACGGGAAGCGGAGGAGAGGGTCCGGGGGGTCCTGGAGGACGAGCACCGCACCGCATGGAGGAGAGACAGCATGGGCCGGGCCAGGACCAAACCTAGGAAGAACCAGAACCCCGAACTGGGACATATAGAGGAAGAGGGGAGACCGTGCACCCCCCCCCACCACACCCCCCCACCTCTGGGACCAGGGAAGGGGACCGCTCACCCCCAATATGGCCCAGCTCTGACACAGGGGCTGCTACACAAGATGACCCTCCGGGGGCCCCCAGAGAGCTGGAAGCACCCCATGGGTGTCCAGGAGGAGAACCAAGGCAGCCTGAGCAGGGGGGACGCAGCACAGGTGAGATCACCCCTATGTCATGGGGAATGGCGGGGCTCATTCACACCACACGTGCTGGGCTTAGGCCCCATTCACACGTCGCGATTCAGAATCGTGGCCAAAATCGCCTGCAAAACGCACATTTGGGTGCCGTTCTCCTTCAACGGTCAACCAAATGCGATTCTGCACGAGCGTCGTACCTCAGGATCGCACGGCAAACCATGCCTTTAAAAATTGCGTGAAGGTTGTTGTCTAAAAAGGAGCGGGAGCTTCTCTTCAGGTGACAAACGCCCTACATGACACGCAGAATCGCATGACAATCACGCTTTGTAGAACGCGGTCCCAATGCATTGTTTCCAGTCCTGGCACTTTGCACCGCAGTGAATGATAAAAGTGCGTCAGGCAGTGCTTGTATAATGGTGCAACGCAATCCACCACATCGCACGCACTGCCGCCAATACAACTGAAGGGCATGGGACTTTTCTGAAAAAGAAAAGGGGGGGGGGTTCTAGTATATTGTGCAGTTCACAGCGCAGTGTGCACCACTCCTTTGCAATACATTGGGGTTGATTTACTAAAGGCAAATAGGCTGTGCACTTTGCAAGTGCAATTACTCCAGAGTCAAGGAGGGGAAGCTCTGCTGACGTCCATCATCCATACACGTGCAATGCTCTTTTTCAAAACATTTTCCTTGCATGTGATTTGGTATCTTTTTCAAAGTGAAGCATCACCTCATTTACTAAGCTCTGGAGCCACTGCACTTGCAAAGTGCACAGTCTATTTTCCTTTAGTAAATCAACCCCAATGTATTGCAAAGGAGTGGGTGCACACTGCGCTGTGAACTGCACAATAGTCACAAGTTTTTGTTTGTTTGCTTTGCCTTCGGTGTCCCCTTTGAGAGATACAGTCCAGTTAGGTACAACAGAAAGTGAGATGTAATATCTCTTAAAGAAGAATTCCAGGAAAATGTTTTTTTCCCATGCAGTGGGACTGTGCTGCACTGCATGGGTCAACTGCTCATTTTTATGAGGAGAGTGAATCTGCCAATCCTCCCAGCGCAAGACTGGTCCGTGACGCTTCTGCCATTCTAGTGGTTTTGTGAATGGACTGTTCCTGATACATCACACCTATAGACTGCCTCTGGACGTGAGGATGGCAGGAACAGTCCACCATTGGACATGGGGAACTGCTGTTTTCCGGGGGATTGAAGGATTGGGTAATTATATCTTGTGGGGGGGGCTAGACAAAATGAGCAGTTAACCCATGCAGTGTGGACACAACCACACCGCAGGTGACTAATGCCGGCCATAGACAGAAAAATCGGCCGAAAAATCGGCCGATTTTCGCACTGTTAGTGGGTTAATTGGTCGGGCGTTTTTTGTTTTTTTTTTTGCCCAGTTTTTTTATCGGTCATGTTGGGAGATTCACGGACGATTCTGACAATCGGACGATTTTCCAGGCAATGATGGGCAAATCGGCCGATCATTTTACTGATAAAAAATCCACGCATGAGCCGTAACCTGCAAGGGACAGAAGTTATGGAGTGAACTTTAGGATTTAGTTGGCCGATTTTTTTTTTTTTTTTTTTTTTTATCGTTGGTGGCAACGTCGGCCGACGAACAACCTATTTTTCGTTTTTTTTTCTTTTTTCAAAAAATCGGCCGATG